AAATACACTTCCTATGAAATGAAACATCAGATTAACATGTTAACATGTTCTTTGTCATATTACTGACCTTTGGTGTAGTAGCACCACTGGAATAGATTCTGTCAGCAGCCTTGCTAGTGTTATACTGTTCAAACACAATGCAGTAAATTATGTTCTAGATCATCAACCATTAAATATTTAAAATAATGTTTTTTCCATACTGCAGGGTGAGGAAAATATGCCGAGATAAAGACACAACGATTTTCCAAGAACATTATAATACTTCATGACAAACCATAGGCCGCCCAACTATTGCTTTAGAGACAGAAAAGGACGATTGTGCACTCTTTTATTACGTGTATGTTACGTATCTTACGTGTATGTTATCTTAGATAATGCGGACTACCTGTGTCATTACGTCACRATCCCGTGTCTCGCGGGTCTACATTAGTCTGTGACAAGGTATGAAACACTGGTCACGTGACAAATCTTATTTTGCTCCTATTTCCCCAAAGATAACAGTAAACGATAATTTTATCTACAAATAATGATGTGTACTATGATTGTCTAACGATTTCATTAGTTTGAGTCTTTTGATTTCATTTTACGAGAAGAAAATGATAATGGAGCATTTCACTCGCCATRGACCTATGTGTGCACCAGGTAGATGGGACACTTTTTCRGAGAACGCTCGGGTTTTTACATTCGCAAAGGCGAAAAGTGTATTCTCCTACTTTGCTTTCCATTCTTTCTTGTAAGTAAGCAGTATAAAATGAGAGTTGAGGGCCGTACACAACTGTCGAAAGTCAATTAAGTTTTGACAAGCTTTGGGCGGATATCTTAGCACTGTTGCGTACTTTCTGACGTAAGATTATCACACGCCATATTTTTTCGCCCTATCTTCGGTGAAAGTTCGACTACCTGTCGAATCTTCGTTTTCCAAAAGTGTCCCATCTACCTGGGGCGCACATCGATCCATCACGTGACCGGTGTTTCATACCTTGTCACAGACTAATGTGTAGACTCGCGAGGCAAAGGATCGTGACGTAGTACCACAGGTAATCCGCATATGCTAAGAGCGGGCTCCGATAACAGGTATACATAATGGTGATTTATCACTCTAATAAAAGCGTGCGCAATCGTTCTTTTCTGTCTCTAAAGTAATAGTTGGTCGGCATATGGACAAACTAATTCAGAATTTCCTCAAAAAAGTATATTTCCATTCAATTCTATGTGTCAATTCTTAGTTTGTGTTATGTTTACTTATAATTAACTAGTACACAGTATCCGCTGAATTCAGTTTTGTTAATTTTTTTTTTGTTATGACTACATTACGATATTATCATTCAATATTAATTGATTTCACTTATTTGATTCTATAATATATTATTATTATTATTATAATTTCATTCATAATTATCATTGCATATAGATAATATGACTAATTTTATCAAATACCATACCCCGGAAGTCAGAAGCTGCATTTTTTGTGCAAGTTCAGCAGCATCCACTCCTCCTGCACTGTCACCCAGACCTTGAATACCAGTTATACTTGMAACCTATTGTGAACATAGATGACAGTACGATTCATCATTTCAAATGCATACAACATTGCCACTACAGGTTCTCAAAACAGGGCTGAATATAATATGAAATTTATACATATTGTCACACACAATCATGGCAAAATCAAGACTAGAAAAGAGTTAGAAAATTTCAAAAAAAAATTATTAATCCCTAAATTTTGGAGTGAATAAGTTGATGTGCTAAACAAAAAAAATAACAAAATCAGCAGAAGTGATAATACGGTAATAATTTAACAAAAAAAAACTGTAATAGGAACAAGATTGTTGTAGCATCAGCACATTATATAAAGTCACTCATATTTACCTTTTGAGAGAGTTCTCCAGTATCATATCCAAGTAAAGTAAGAAAATGCTTTCTTGGTTCTCTTTCAAAATTAATCTGCAAAATTCAAATACTAAAATTAGCATTTGCGTTAAAATGATTGAATAATTTAAATTAATAATTAATAATATAATTATAATAATAATTAATAATTATTATTAATAAATAATTAATAACTGACCTTAAATTTATACTGAAGAATCACAAAGGCGGATATAACTTAAATTTTTAGAGYCACCATGATCGTAAAAATCACATATCTTGGCAAGGCTCGAAGGATTAAATCATTTTACTAATGATTTCACAACATCATGTACAACAAAGGGCACATGTCAACCCTGCATACAGGGTTTAGTTATAATAGTGCGATCAGGAAGTTTCAATGCTCTTACATTTAAGGACCAGAAATTACAGCAGGTGTTTGAAATTGCAAAGGTTTGAGTGAAAATTGGTGTTGAGGCCTGTCTTCTGCTCATTTTTCATATGCTCAATGGTATATGGTGTATTCACTTTGGTGTGAATGACAGTTAACAAACACGCATACAAACTTCTTATCAAAATAGAAGGATTTGTTTATGTTTATGTAACTTACGATCTACATGTCTATATTGATGTATTTTTATGCCCACAACATGTTTTGAGTGCAGTTCATAATTGCTCAAAAACATTGTTCGTGAACGTCTGTTGTCGAGAGCTAACTACAAACCAAATGCTAGCAATGTTAGAACAAGTCGCAAGAAACTTGTGWACAGTTTTCAACCAAAGTGCAAACTGTAATCACAATCTGTTCTCAAAGAAAGGTATCGTATTTACACATGTATAAGCCGTTCTCGTAGATAAGCCGCACCTCAAGTTTTAGGAACGTTTTTGAGGAAAAAAAAGACAGAAAATAGACTTTTCTCTTTTTTGGCTCGAGGCTATGCCGATTTTGTTAAATTATTTTGACTCCCAGATATATAGTTTTTGCCCGTGACATTCTGTCCAGGAGTTCGAGGATTCGAACTTTTTGCTCCATACCATTAACTCCCTAACGAATTGGTGTACAGTGCCAAAACTCTGCATGAACGTAGCAATATGATAGGGAAGTTCTTTTCCAGAAATCGGTCAATATACATTTGATACAAAGTAAAATGTGAATTTTTGATTTTGTATTACGCTCTTTTTCTTTGAAAATTCTTGCTCCAAGTTAAGTACCGCCTGATGTTGTCTTTCCTCGATGAATTCCAACAAAACTTTGCTAATAGTTAGGCTATACCTCTAATATTTTGTCCCTGAGATATCGCGAAAAAAATAGGCTTACCGTATTTACCCATGTATAAGCCGCTCTCGTAGATAAGCCACACCCCGAGTTTTAGGAACGTTTTTGAGGAAAAAAAGACGGAAAATAAACTTGTCTCTTTTTGATCGCCACTTGCGAACACAGCTTTCTTTGATTTTGAAGTGCTTTTCTGCTGCTCGATTTCCGACCATTTCCGTGATCCATGCCGGGATCCATGCATTTCGTATGCAATTACAATCAGTTTATTTAACGTGTGCTGTATGATCTTGGAGACATAATTGTAAGATCATTGATACTTACTAGTAATTGATACTATATTTAAAGAGTTGTTTTTCATTCAAAAGGTAGAAGCAAACTAGTAAATAACTTGAGTGATATAAATCTCAACGTCACGCCAAACTTCTAAACATAAGGATCGTGCCGAAACCGTTTCGTATTTCAACAAAATATTAAAGCCGATTGTATTTGTTTAGTATAAGGAACAATTTCTTAGGGTTATTTCTTGGGTTTTCAAAATATTTACCCTGGATTCTTCACTTTAAGTGTGACCAAGTCGATTAAATGAACAATGCAAATTAGCATCGCGTTACCAAAACAACTCCAAGACAAAACGATTGAAAATGCTCTCTGGTCGTTGGCTCAATTACCACACACTTTCCAGTTTGATTTATTGACTTCTGTTTCTCAGAGCTAGATTTTCGGAGAATTTATAGTAATACTGAGAAGTTTGGATTAAAATTTCTGTTCCCGCCGTGTAAAACAAACTTTAAAGACATTACTGATGTCCTGTCTGCAGTAAGTGGCACCGTGAATGCTAATTTATGCAATGCAAATTAGTTTTTATCGGGCATTTTTACAAGTCTTCTCGTAGATAAGCCGCACCCCCGATTTGGGAACGATTTTTTTGGAAAAAAAGTGCGGCTTATACATGGGTAATTACGGTAATTTGTTTGAAATAGCTGCAAAAGTGTTTTCCTGGATTTCCCCATAAAATGCATAAATTAAATCTGATTTTCCAAAAATTTACTCAATATGAATTTGAATCCCTTTTTAATCATGTAGTAAAATATTATTACGATCTGACCAACTTAAATTACTTTTTGACCCGTTTCTTTCGTCCCGGTCGGTGTTCTAAACAACTGTATCCAGATACCTTAAATTGTATTTATGCAAATTAGTTTTTATCGGGCATTTTTACAAGTCTTCTCGTAGATAAGCCACAACCCGGATTTGGGAACAAATTGTTGGAAAAAAAGTGCGGTTTATACATGGGTAAATACGGTACATGTGATTCCAGGCGATACCATATGCATACATTACACACAACATGTTTTTCAATTAAACTTGTTACCTTAAGGAAACTCCATAATGTTCTTTCTAGTTCTTGTGTACTGTTTTG